AGATGTGCACGCAATTCTTTTTCCTTCAGAGGAAAAATGATTAATTAGTTGGACCCCCAATCTATGAACATTATCAATCCGATGCAAGAAAATGATATTAACACAACATCCAAATGTTCTATACACTTATTTGTACTTCAGTAACATTCATGCAGGGGAAATAAGCGACGATACAGCATATAGTAAGAATTCACAAATGTAAATGCTCAGCAGCGATTTGATACCTGAATAGGCTCAACAAAAAGAGCAAGTGCTGTTAGGAAAGAAAGAAACCCCTCGGGATCAAATGTGGTTCCAGAAACTGCTATTGAACCAGCACAAAGCACTACCAGGCCTGCAATGTATGTAGTACGAACAGCTTGAGGTATGAGAGCTTTCATCTTCTTCTTACCCAAATTATTCTTCAGATCAACAAAAGCCAACTCATGGAATCTTAACATCTCTTTGTGCTCCCCATTGTTTACCTTCACAGTGAGCATCGATGGAAGTACCTACAGAGAGCATTCAAGTAAACAACAATTTTTCGTGCATAGCCTTGTATGTTTGTTATACATGAACTAATTGAGTGCTACTGAACCAGACATCGTTGAGATAGGCTGCGAGCATGGCGAGGCTAAGATGTGCCTCCTTGGATATTTGACGGAGTCTTTCACCAAGCTTTGCAATGACTATGGACATGCATGGAATTACCTATCCATGTAATGTAGAGTGGAGATTAAACAGTGCACACATAACTATATAAGTTACCATGAAAGAGCAGTCCAAACTAGTATGAGATTTGTTACCATTGCTGCAACTAATGAGAGCTGGGGATTTATTGCCACCATTTGAGTACCCATTGCTATCAATTGCAAGCTTGTCGGCACAATTGTCTGCATGAAAATGAGAAATAAATATTAGGATGGCACAATTACCAGTGCAGTAAAACGATCCACTATTCCATGACTATCAAGTATGAGGAACGTTCAAAACAGGGAGTGAATTTCTACAATCAACGATTATACTAACTGCTGAGGGAGCATTTCTCCAAATAGCTTTCGTACATTTTATCAAACACGTCTATCTAGCAGAGTGCAAGAACCTCACATTGAGAACAGAGTACACAGCGTCCGCGACGTCGTCCGCCTCATCCGTGATCCGGTGCGCGATGTCTCCTGCGGCCATCCCTTCTCTGCCATCGAAAAAGGCGAGGTCACGCGCAAGCAAACGCTCGAAGGCGCGCTCCCGGAGGCGCCACACCGCCCGCAGCGCCGCCTCCCAGAGCAACGCCTGCTGCACGTACGCCGCGGCCGCGCGCGCAGAGGCGAAAGCCGCGAGCGCGACCACGCCCCTAGAAACCTCCGCAGACACGCCCCCGCCTACGCCGGCGGCCAGAGCGCGCGGAAGGCGCCCCGCGGCGGGCACCGTGCGCGAGAGGCAGTACACGGCGGCGGCGGCGCACGCCCACCCCTTGGCGATGGTCCGCCACTCCGCGGCGACGTAGGGGAAAACCTCAGAGAGCGGATACGACGGGGGCGAGCAGTCTTTGGCGGCCCGCACGCGGAGGCGGATGGAGCACGCGGTCGTTGCGGTTAGAGCTAGGGCTCGGGAGCGCGATATAGCTCTGCTGCTTCGCAGTGAGATGCTTGGGGTGAATGTTCGGGATTGCGAGGAGAAGGTTGGCAGAGGTGCAGGATTCGCCATCGCCATGGCCATAGTCCATGCCGATACCTCGCCGCGTCGGCGCTGTGCGCTATCAAGCCTGGAACGCGATGCGAAATGTGCGGGAAGAAGAGGTTCTCTTCCGCCGGACGAACTGACCCTGAATCCCAAAAATTATGTTTTCCACATTTGCAAATCGGTCAATTGAGAAGGAGAGAGAACGTTTCGGTCCAGCACGACTGTGCCGATTTTATGAATGTGCCGATTCAGTCTCACGAAAATGCTCGTAGTGATAAAATGTGTGCATACATTATATATATATATATATATATATATATATATATATATATATATATATATATATATATATATATACACACACACACACTAGCAAAAATGCCCGTGCGTTGCAACGCGAGAATACAAGGTGCGAAAATTAAGCTGGTGGCATAAATATTTTATTGATGCAATACTTATCATGTATTCTTTTACCATTAAATCACTCTTCTTTCTTAATTACAATATACCATGAATAATATTTGCTCTTCTCCGTAGCTCAAAAATAAGTGGTTCAAAAAGCTTTAGCGATTTAGTTCGGGAAATTAGCCAAAAAAGTTAATAGTACTCCCTCTGTTACCTTACGTTCTGGTGGTTCAAATTAAACTACCAAAACATCATATATTTAGGAATGAAGGGAGTACTTCTGAAATTATGTATAGAAAAACCTGCACCCTTGTTAACATGTTTGTTACCTCAACTGAATTGTTTTCAGCACGGATCAACTCATAATCTTACTTGTACGTTAAAATGATGCTTATAAACCGAGATAATTTTTTAGAGCAGGTAAAAAGAATGTACATGGACTGCCAATAGCATAATTGATGGTTACATGAAATATCTAAAAATTTAAGAATCAAACATGATCTAAGGAAGTGACACACATCTGCAAGTATTTAATAATAAAATCCATATGAAAGATGACCTCCATTCATTGAAAATTTGCGAGTTCCACTCCTTTGCTTCAATAGTAACGGCCACTTAGTCCAGCACACCCCCTTTGTCATAGATCAGTAGAAGGCAAAAATGGATACACATCTATATGGGCCTACTCCTATCATAGTTTATACATAGCAACAAATTGAGATTACATATGGCTACACAATAAGATTCCTTTGCATCATCGTGTTCTTACTTTGAAATATGGTAGCAGCAAATTGAAAGATTCTAATGTGTTAGTTTTGGCACAACGGGCTTCGGCCTCCTTGACATCCATCTGCAAGCAATTTTTGAATCATCTGTGGTACACACCATGCGCATAGTTAGCGTGATTATAGCATTGTAGGCAACAAAAAGGAATCCATATGTAATCTGAATCTTCACTGAACGTTTTAGGTTTGACCGTCCAAGACCTCGATCACACAAAATTTGACAGCTCAAACTTTTACCCTTACCAGTTTTCCATCTTCCATGGCAAATCCACCACATACTTGGCTTCACATTGAGATGGTTCACTACCTTCATCTCACACGACTTGTCACACTACATATCCACGAACCAATCCAGTTAATGTTTGACGACTGAAAAAAATTTAGAGTAAATCGACAGATGCATGAATAAATCAATCGATGCGTTGCAACGGGAGAAAAAAACATCACAAACACGCCACCAAGCTCTAGCACCTTCGCCTACGACATGGCAATCAAGCATACTCAACGCCCATGCAATGGGCCCCACAATGATCTTGCACCCTTGCGGCTCAACCGGCGACGTGACGTCGACGGCGGGTCAAGGCAGCAGCAGAGCAGGCGCGACACGGATGCCACGAGCTGCTCGGCCACCTTTCCTCAAAATACAACACAATAGCAAAGGGAACTTGGCTAGAGATGCACTTGAACACTTAGCTGCAATAGGGATGATTAAAACTTTGAAGAATATAAATTTGGCTGTCCGTTACAGTGGGAGATGCAGTGTATATGACGGCGGAAACGGGCAAGGAAAAAAATAGAAAATGATTAAATGTGTTTTTACTTTCTGACAACATCATTTTGCCCTACATCACATATAGTAATGATGTCACAAGCATGCTCTTGACGAGAACCATTCACATGTGCTAGCGACCTGAAGAGGATGGAGAAAAGAAGGGCAGAAGAGAGAGGCTTGTATCTATCAAGACACCAACATATACTTCAAGCTTTGTCAAGATACCAATAAGAGTAAAATCACTTGAAGCTAATACGCAACCTTATAGCAATATACTGCACTGAGTATATCCACTATCATCTCGTCCAGCTGTTCAGGTGAAGTGAGTGCCAGTAGAACAATGACCTACGGACCACAAGAGTTCCAAAGCACCATTAATCAGAACATGTACAAAGAAACAAAGGAGTAATCAACAGCCAAAAATAGGCTAAATTACGAACCTTAGAATCAGGTCATGGAGTTCAAGGGGAAACTCCTCCACACCCTCCTGGCAGGAGTTGAGCACGACCGCGGACTCATCGGGGTCGTCGAAGCTGCAGAACCTGCTGCTGCTGCTCGACGTCGAGCTGCTGTCCCTTGCAAAGTATTATTCTGAACACGCTGTGGAACGCCTATCTGAATTTCCACGACGGCACCAAACTAAATGTAAGTAATATTGTTGTAGGAAATACAGGAGTACTCCAAGAGTGCTCTGTTCATCTGATGGACTGTGTGTGTGCCAAGAGCCATGCCAAGCTGCACATTTAGTATGCATAGGACCTTGATTTCTATGCCACCGCGTCGCAAAGACTGCAAGCTGCATATAAAAGAAATTGCATTTTTCCTGTCCTGAGATTGGAGTCAAGATCTGGATCAAAATTACATTGTCATATTTTTCTATAACTGAAGCTAGATTAAGTACACTGCCTGCTACCGCGGGCTATAAAGAAAATTGCCCAATGTCACATATCATACGAAGATTAGTTCATCAATGTAGGACCGGCTGAATGTCGGTGTATCATAGGAATCATGTGGTGCCTTGGGGCTCATGCAGGGGTGTTGAGAGTTAACCCTTCAGCAAAACAGAGAAGATGGCGATAGGAAGAGAATAGTTGGCAAATTCGACTCCTTTCCTGAACCCGATGGCTACATGGAAGGTAATTTCCTTTTCTAGCAGCTGGTTGTACAGCTATACTAAAACCATTTGAATTGGCTTCCGTGAAAGTTTAACATGTTACTTGAACAACAAGATTAAAATAGCCTATTGTTTAAGGTTCTAGAGAAGGTTGAACAGCAACGATGCAACATAAACCCAACTATTTCATGAGCACAGTTAGTCTATGTAAGTTAAGCCACACATCCTGATACATTAACAGGCAGTGGAAACAGGCAAAAGTGTCCAAAGTTGTTGTCTACTTCGAGCTACTTGCTACCCACCATTGATTGATGAATAAATCATTTTCTTACCGCGTGCAAGATGGTCCAGGTGTTTCATCATCTTTGCTTGCAACGTAGAAGATGCTCCTGGTCGAGGCCGGTGATCGGGGCAGAGGCTGATGGAGTCAACTCATGGACATGGGCTGGGGAGGCCAATCAGCCCGCCAAAGGCTCCCATGAACACTCTGGCTGCACAAAAACACAGTTATACACACGTCAATGTGCAGAACATCATATTAAAATCTGTACAAAAGAACAACCAAAATTGCACAAACATCACGCACCAAGTTTGAAGACACACTGCACAGGACTTTGGGCTCAAGCGTTGAAACCAAACTTTAATATTGCAACTCAAGAAAAGGGAAACTGTGAGCAGATAAAGGAGCATTTACCAGCTCTTCCTATGGACGGGAACTGACTAAGAGATCTTGAAAAGGTGAGATGTCTGAAGAAATTAAGTATGCCGATGATGCATCTGGAGCCCCTAATTAAGGTGAGCTTAGTTACAGACCTCCACTCCAATTTTACCCAGCGCCGCTCGTCCGCAGCCACCGGACGCAGATCCCCCTAGAATTCATTTTTTGCTCTTTGTGTGGTGTATACAGTCAAACTAACTAACATATGCGTTCAATAGTGATTAGAAGATACTTTCAGTCAGTTAGATGGATAAAGATCAAGCTTGGCGCCATAAAAATTGAGAGTGAACTGAATATGCATGTTATCCTTCATTAATCACTCATATCATCGCTAGATCATCAATCCACCAGTACATGATTCAGGAAAGAAATCTTCCCTTTTCACAACAAAGATAGCACACTACCCACTTCCTTCTTTGTACAATGTACTGTATGTAGTAGTACAAAGCCTATACCCCTTCATTAATCACTCACACTCTCTCACTCACTTTCTATTGTCCTCATTCTCTCTTTTCTGTACCATTCTCTTGACTGATACATAGCAGCACGAACTGAATTTTATCGCTGGATCACACAACGTATCACACATTCAAACTGACCGTGTAAGATTTGTCACACAAGATCATCAAGAAGAGTCTCCCTCAATTGCACATACAGGCACAAAAAAGAAGTGGAATTCAGAAATTAATCAGGTAGATGTAGTACCTGAACCTCCTGTAGGATTTGGGGGAGTTTGTCAGCGAGCCAGGCGTCCAAGTCCTCGTGCGACGACGGAGAGGATGCACAGGATCACGACGGGCGCCATGGTGGAGGTCATGGCGGGTTTGGCGCCGCCGGATCGGGTAGAGGAGGTGGAGGGCGCGCGGATACGGGAGGGAGGCGCCGGATCTGGCCGGTGGAGGTCCCGTGGCGGCATTCGAACCTCCAAGGTGAGCTCGAGGACTGGGCATCCGTGGCGCTGGTGCTGAGCTCCTGGAGAGAAGGAGAGACAGGAGATTAGAGAGAGAGAGAGAGAGAGAGAGAGAGAGAGAGAGAGAGAGAGAAGGCAGGGGAGCGGCGGCATGACCTGGGTGGTCGCCGGCAGCGGCGCCGGTCGCCGGACGACGCGCGAGGGAGGCCGGGGAGGAGGAGCTCGGGGTCGGCGCTCTGCGGGCGTTGGTGGCGGCGGCGGCGGCGCTCGGGCCTGGGCGGGCCAGATCTGGGCTCGAAACGTTTTTTCACTTTAAAAAGGATCATGGGTAAATTTCACAGAAACAGGGGGACTTTTTTGCAAAAACGCCGACGACGGACGACCTGAGCCAAACGCTGGTTTATTAGTATATATATATATATATATATATAGGCAAAGATAAAAATATATCAATATATGTGTTGTACCGTGTTAAATCCTTTTAAGAAGGAGAACGTTTTCAGAGTTTCATGAGAATCAAATTATTGTTTAGGATTGTGACATGAACCTTAGAACAAGTTCATTGTGGATAAAGTGCACTTTTGGTATGAATCGAGTCTATTTCTTTTGAAAAAATACATTATAATCATAACAGATGCTTATATACAGACACGCATACTCATCTTTATAAACACACGTATTTATAGATTATCCATATGAGCATTTTTTTGAGAGAATCTTGAGATTGACATAGTCATCTTAGACGCCTCGTAGTTGACGCTCATGCTATACCGCTTAAAAAGTAAGGCTGAAAAGTCTATAATACATCTTGAAAAATGCGATTACATGTGTTAAATTTAAAACTTGAACTAGGTTCCAACACAAAAAATCTAATTATGTGAGTTATGCTCAGTAGCCTAGAATTGAAAAATTTATATTAGACATAGGACGAAGAGTATATTGATGACACGACTGGACTCATACATTTCAATCACTGGATTAGAATTTACCAAACCTCCGTTACAAAAGAAGTATGACTAAACAAATTCATATTTTTGAGGTGACTAAAAAAAATTCTTTACTACAGAGTATTCAATAAATTTGTGGGTCTCTTTTTTCTAACTTGTGACATGGGCTAATTTCTCTATGACCATTTATTGATCTCTATCAGGTATTGCTTGATTTTATTTAATAAATTACAAGGATGAAATTTAAATCCTTTTCTTTTGCGAAAATATCAAAGGTCATATATCAAGTAGCACATACCCTTGCGAAAACACTACTACAAAAATTTAAAAACTACAAACCAAGTCATCGTGGTGCCGAAGCCTTCTTCCTCTGACATCCAACATCGAGGTGTTGTGAGCAAAAGTTTGATGCTGACTGGACCTCTATCTCAGCTGATAAACTTGTTGAGAACTAGGAGCTTGGAGAAGCAACAGTCGAGATGCCATCGATGTAGACCAGAACACGCCCGCGACCTATCTGCAAAGCAAAGCCCCATAGAAAAAAAAATGCCAAAGAGGGCCTACAGAACACCCTAGATCTGGCCAGACCGGAAAACAAACCTCACAGACTCTTCGAGGAAGCCGAGATTGGCCAAACTTTGTTGGTCGGAAATAAACACTAAAGTATTACAAGCAAACCTTTGGGACCCAGCTACCTGGCGTTGTTAATGAAATTGATACCTGATTTTTTAGACGATTTTGTGAAACTTTTGGGAACATAATAATGTTATTTTCTTTATCTAAAGCGGTATGATAGCTACCTCTAAAGATATATGTCGTCTATATGCACCCTTTCCCCTAATTTTTTATATTAATACTAAAGTGAATTACATGAAAGCCACTTCTAAAAACACTTTGGATCCACCTACACGGCTTGTTCCACAAATAAACTCAAAGTAGCTTAGGTCCTCTTCACATAGATAATGCCCATCAGTTATGCCCGTTGGCACGATCGTTTTCTTCGAGTGGTGGTCGCCTGGCATGGATGCTACCCCCATCTTGCATGCGTAAGGGCCTGGACTCGATTGTCATGCTCACCGGCTGAACCATCTAAAAGCATCATAATGCATGCATCTTCGACAACGCTCAACCATCTGTCATGCCATGATCAGCTCAATCAAGGAGGAGGCATAGCGTTGGGGAAAGGAAGGCACCCGCAACATCGATTGCATCATCCCTGTAACTTAGTGACTAAATCCTTTGGGCTGAGCAACCCTTTCCTCCTACTCTAGGGCATCTGGTACTATGCTTTAGTGCGCACGTAGTATGGATATCCACCCCTTGTACTCTTTTCACTCTCTATAAATGAAATGATACACTATATGTGTATTTTTTTAAAAAATGCCCATCAATTATGTTTTTTTACCTTGAGTACTTTTTTGTTGAGTTGACCTTGAGTAAATATTTAAGGTGTATGGGAGTAGCTTTCATTTACAGGTGAACCTTGACTGTAAGAGTTTTTTTTAGAAAAGAAGGAATCACACCCGGCCTCTGCATCTGGAAGATGCATGCGGCCATATTATTTATTATTCACAAAGACTTTACAAAGAAATTGAACAGTAAGCCCGAGGCCACCATCTAGATGACACCTATTGTTACTCCTATCCTCTTGATGAAGGTGTGCCGAATGTCCGGGCCAAATACCAAACAGACATCGCACAAAATCCTAACATCTAACGCCGGATGCCCCATGCAAAGCCACATAGGCGGGACTGGGTAACACTCCGGTCCGGCGCACTCTCAGTAAGTACCACACGCACACGCTGCAAAGGACCGTCACCTTCGTCTTCCCTCGATCCATCCTCAAAGCATGTACTGACGTATCGACATTGTCAGGCATGTCTGCCATCGACGCCACCACGACGCCAGACAACGTCGACCTCCTGCGCGTATCCATCGCCACACATCTGACGCCAAGCCTTCACCGCTCTATGCCACTGAGAATCGCCACCATGAATATGTAGAAATAAACACCGCTCCACCGAAGAAGCCATCCGCTGGTCCCTCGAGCCCGAATGCAACTCCAAGAATGCCGCCCCCAAGGGGGTAATGACACATGAATGTCGTCGTCATCCGATCAGCTGATCTAGGGTTTCCCCCGGAGGTATTGGGTGGGGTTGGGAGCTTCACCTCGATGATGCCTTCATGAAGGAAACGATGATAAAGGCATCGTCATCACTGGCTCCGACCAACGACCGAAGACCAAGTTTTCACCTGGATCCGTCCCAAGAAATCTACCCGACAACCTGTGCATTGTCTCGACCGCCTTCAAAGCCCCAGATCTAGCTGCCTAGATCCGGCGACCAACCGCAACGGCAGTGTCACCGTAGGAGCCCTGGCACACCGGTCACTGCCTGAATGCGCCACCACTGGAGCCTGGGAGGAGGGCCCCCATCCCACCTCGCCAAACCGCGAGAGCCGCCGAGATGGATCCCGCACACTCATCACCGTCTCTGATCTGAATCAATTCGCAGCAAAACCACGAGATCGGCGATGCAGATTCGCCTTGGATAGGGGCAATGCCACGCCATGCCGCCGCGGGAAGCCCGAGCTTCACCCGCCGCCACCTTCCAGGGCCGCCGCCCCGGGATCCAGCCGCCGCCGACAGGCCGAGCCGCCGGCCACCGCGACCAAGGCCGCCATGACCCCGCGAGCCCATGGAACAGCCGGCGCCACCAGATCTTCCTTGGAGCCTAGCAGCTGCGCCGCCCCCGCCTAGCACCACGCCGCCGCCTTGCGCCGTCGCCTAAGATGCCGTGCCGCCGCGACACAGATCGGGGGAAAGCGTCCCGACGCCATGGGTGACCCGCCTCACCGATCTGGCGCGGGAAGGAAGAGAAGAGAGCCTCCGCCGCCGCCATCAGCCGCCTGGGGCTTCGCCCGACGACCTCCTCTAGCAGCGGCGAAGGGGAGGGGGAGGATGGACGTGCCCGGCGGCGGGGGCTAGGGTTTCCACCCGAGCCGCCCTAGCGGGAGGGCGACGTGGGGGTAGCCACTGTGATAGCAAGAGTGGACCCATTGACTGTAAGAGTTGAAATTAGAATCTTTTGGGATAAAAACTACTAGTTGAGTTACGTTATGATTTTGAGTGTAATACTGAAAATGGTATTTTTGTATGGTTTGTTTATGTGATTGGTGTTTGTTGTGTTTCAGTTATTGAACTGTCTCTATGCAGTATCTCAGTTCTCAATTTCTCATGGAACGAAACAGATCAGATTGAACGCGTGAGAGATGATTTGCTGCGATTGTTCCAGTACGGGAAAGGCAAGATTTATCACGACCAACGTTAACGGAAGGAGAGGAAGAACTCGAATGATGTCACAGAGGCACTAATTTACAGATCAATCTGGTCGATCGGCTCCTCAAAGTGCGCTTGATTTCCTAGTCCTGCGCCACGGCCGTCGTGGCGCGTGATCCCGCGGCGCCGGCGACGCATCGGCCACCGGCCTCCGGGTGCATGAACAGCTTGAACCTCCCGTCCTCCTTGCATGACTGGAGCAGCTCCTGCGATGGCAGCCGCATCTCCCGCAGCACGAGCCGGCCGTCCTCCCGGTGCGCCCGGAGGGTCAGCCACGGCCGCCCGCCCTTGCCGATCACCGATATCGGCGGCGGGAACGCCCTCCCGCTCCTCGTCCGCCTCGGCATCACGAACCCTTGGTCGGCTTCGTCGTCGACTTCCTGGAGGTGGTGTTGCTGCCTCTTGCAAGACTGGGCCCAGCCTTCGACCGCGGCGTCGTCGTCCATGGCGACGTCGTCGGGGTCTAAGCTCTCGGCCCCGAGCGCCTCGGTGAGGAGGTCGGAGAAGGGGTGGAGCGAGGACGGTGATCTCAATGATGGCGCGGGACGGGGGCGCCCGGAGGGCCAGGTGGGGGCTAAGTAGGGCGGGAGGTGGAGCGGTGGGGGCGCCATGGCCGAGTGGACGGACGAACGGTCGTCGCGCGCAAGGGGAAGTACAGTGGTGGTGGTGGACGGCAGCGTACGCGACGTACGTACGTGCGGCAGCGGTGGCCGGCCGCCGGCTATATATCCGTAATCGCGAGATGGCAGTTAAGATAATGGCGCCGATCGAGCTGATCGAGAGCGGGTCTCCGTGGGGGTCGGTGGTGCGCGGCCTCGGCTTTTGCGCTCGAGCGGGCGCATGCATGGCGATATGGCACGGATCAAACGCGAACGGTAGGGGCCACTTGAGACACCTGGCCTCTCTCGGCTCTCTATCCGCAGAAACAGTCGTTTGTTGAATGTTGGATAATCTGATCCGAACTAATAGTTCGGAACTTCATCTAGTAAGGGCATTTCTAACCAATTCCTAATAGGTAATGGAGTGTCTAGTGAAGTAAAACTTACATCATTAATTTTTGGTTGGACCTAACCGATTCCTTGTTATATAACGGAGTAAAAGAAATTCAAATGCATTTCATTTTCGGCCACCGACATATTTCTTTGTTATTTTACTTCATTCAACCACATTTTGATACTCCCTTCATTCCATAACGTAGTGCGCCCACGCTTTTCAAGATCTAAGTTCGACTATAAATTTAACCAACAAGACCGACTGCGGCGGGAGTAAAAATTATACCATTGAATTCGTATCGAAATATGAGTTCGGTGGTATAATTTTTGCTCCTGCCGCGATCGGTCTCATCGGTCAAATTTATGATCAAGCTTAAATCTCGGCAAGCGTGGACGCACTACATTGTGTAATGGAGGGAGTACATTGAAGTACATAATTCACCAAGTCTTCGCTACGAGAGCAAAACCAAAGAAAAAAAAACCATAATTAGACATTTTAAAAGATATCCAACGTCCATAACTCCCCCACTAATTGGATTAATACCTTCTCTATGTCTTCATTGTTGATCTGCCGCTTCTCAAGCTTGCACACTTCTTCTTCTTCTTCAATTCTAAAGAAGTAGACGTTGCTTCGCATATAATTTTATCTCTAGTATCTATTCTAGCAATGAGTGCACGAGCATCTATCAAATTTCGTGCTATCAACACATCGATGTATTCTTCTTTCCAATACCAAAACTTGTATCCATCGTACACACAAATTTGAGCAAACAATGAGCTACTGAAATTGTGCCGAATCCGATGAACAACTGAATCAAAGCAAGCACATACCCCATCTTTTTTGCACTTGAAGAACACCCATCCGGGATGTTCCGGCATGGTAGAAACTCGATGCACCACCTGCCGCAGGCAGTCATCGCACTTTATGACTGACAATGGTTAGCCAATGAGCCAATGGGCCAACGCCGAGCCCGGATGACGGTTGGGCGTGTCTTTGTCGGCGAACCGCTCACGGGAGAGATTTGAGTGACTTGAGGCGTAGCCTATACCCGCATGCGGCGTGGAGGCGTTGCCGGGGCTGCGCTATCCGGTTCCTGGTCAATCCATGGCAAGGCGCAGCCGCCGGTGGCTGGAAGCGCCAAATCCGGCGGCGGTGGCGGCAGCCGCTGATCCACCGGTTCTGCGCGGGCGACGGGATGAGAAGGCATAAATCCAAGTGGCGGGGGAGCCTACAGAGCGTCCGTGGCGGCGGACGGGTGCTGGCGGGGGTTGGGAGGGGCGGCGTCGGCGCAGATGCGGCAGGGGAGGGGAGTGGGGAGGCAGCGAAGGAGAGACACGGCTTTTACTCGGGCGCCGAACAATGGAGTAAATAAGGGAGATTCGTCGTGGCTGAGTATAATTTTTACTCCACTGATGTTGATTGAGGATCGGCTAGGTGCTGTTTAGAGGAGTAAACCCGAATTCCTACTCCTCTAACCGGTTATAGGGTGTCGGTTAGAAATGTCCTAGTTACCATTCTACCAATGACACATATGGTGTCCAGCTTCTTTTTTTGAAGAGATGTCCCACTTCCTTTTTTGAAACATGGGGCAAAAGATTTGCCCCTTTTCATTAATTAAGAGAGGAAGAAGTCCGACAAAGTTTCAAGACAAAGAAAGAAAAATAGCCCCCCACCAGGGGTGCATGACACACCATCTTTACTCTCCCTGCAGAATGTGCCCCAAATATTTCGCACCCGCGGCCGCCCAAGTCCCCCCGCCCCCCGCCCCCCCCGTATGGTGCGAAGGAGGATGATTGGGGGTGCGTACTTGCTTCGGAAAACCTGTGCGTTCCTTTCATCCTAGATTGTCTTGCATACTAGCATAGTGAGGGGAAGGCATTGTCCTTCCATGGATCCTTTGGGTGAAGACCATGTCGAACCACCAATCTTTGATGCTCCTGCAGTTTGCCCAAACTAAAACATTCAAGATGATGAGTTGAAGCCAATCCTTCATCAATCCCCATAGTCTCAACGTGTAGCAACAGTTGAAAAGAAGATGCTCGACGGTTTCCTGCTCCCTCCTACAAAGAGGGCAAGGGCCACAATTTGGCCATCGACCCCCTCCGGGCCAAATGGCCAACCATCCAAATCTTGTTTTCAATTACTAACCATGCAAGGAATTTTACATTCGGTGGGCAGGTCTTCCAAACTACCTTGCGCATTTCAAAACAAATGATGGATAGAAACTGCGCATTGTAGTCGGAAGAGGCAGTGTATTCTCCTAAGGTTGTATGCTTCCACAAGATGGAATCCTTAGCATGTTCGTCGGGCGGAGACCGTGGAGTGAAATCCATAGCGCCAGAAATTGTCTCAGGTGTTCAAGAGAGGACGCGACCACAAGGTTGATTTTGCTAATCAATGCGTCATTATGCAGAGCCTCCCTGACTTTCCACTATTTACGCGATGATACCTAAAAGTTCAGGGGCGCGATGTCCATGGGCTTGCACCTATTTAGCCACGGGGATTCCCAAAAGGGCGCACGAGCACCGTTGCCAATGGTGATGGTCGTGCACACGTAGAAGAAGTATTTGTCCTCATCATCACATGGATTACCCAAGCCAACCCACAACCTTGTTGGCTCGGTCCATTTGATTTAGAGCCACCGCAAGCAGAGAACTCAGCAGAATTTCTCTAAATGCAGCACCCCAAGTCCCCCAAGGTCCTTGGGTCTGCAGACACGCTCCCAACTGACTTTGCACTAGGCCCATCTGACAAAGGAAGGGTCGCTCAATTTTGTTGATGTTGTTCGGGGTGCCCTGGGGGATGGGTAGGGTAGTAGCAGCGAAAACACGCTGTCAGGTTCGATTTAACCAGAACAACTTGGCCCGGAGTTGCAATATATCTCCCTTCCCATGGCACAAGTCTTCCCACAACTTGATCCTCCAGGTATTGGAAGTCGGTGTGTCTGAGCTTCCACATCGATAAGGGCAGCCCCAAATATTTTAGCGGGAAGGAGGCTCGCTTTGCAGGGAGCCCGTGGAGGATGGCATCAAGATTGTGGTTCTAGCACCGAACGGGGACGACGGAGATCTTCGAGAAATTGGTGCAAAGGCCAGTAACCTCCCCGAAGCCTTTCAGAATGGTAGCAAGGTTGGTCGCGTCCTCCTTGATAGGCTTGACAAAAACTGCCGCATCATCAGTGTAGAGCGAGGTCCGGAAGGTAGACATGCGTCCCCTAATCTTGTGTAGCATCTGTGCCTGGTGGCCAAATCCAGAACTTGCTGCAGCGGGTCGATGGCAATGGAAAATAATAGTGGGGAGAGCGGGTCACCCTAGCGGAAACCTTGTCCATGCGAAATTGGAGGACCCGACACCCCATTTACGAGGACACGAGAGAAGGATGTGCGAAGGAGCGCCGTAATCTGGTCCCGGAAGATGCTCGGAAACCGTCTCCGCTGTAGGAGGTCCAAAATGTCCTAGCGCACAGAGTCGAAAGTTTTGCAGATATCAAGTTTCAATGGGAGTGAAGGTGTCTTGCTCTTGTTGAGGCATTTAACAAGATTGCACACGTACATGTAGTTGTCATTGATGCTTCGTTTCTTAACAAACGCACTCTGAGCATTGGTGACCAAGTGATTGCTTGTATCTGCATTGATAATTCCCTGGAGAGGAGGGGATGATGTAGCACAACAAGGGTAAGTATTTCCCTCAATTATGAAACCAAGGTTATCAATCCATTAGGAGAACCAAGCAGCACTATGTAAACATCACCTACACACAAACCATAAAAACTTGCAACCCAACATGTAAGAGGGGTTGTCAATCCCTCCTCGGTATTGAGATAGATTAAATTGTATGAGAGTGGAATAGATATAGCAAAAATACAAAATAAAATAAGTAAAGAAAAAGTGCAGCAAGGTTATTTTGGATTTTTGGATGAACAGATCTGAAAATAAGATGATAGGAAATAGATCCAGCGGCCGTAGATTTCACTAGAGGCTTCTCTCGAGAAAATAGCATATGGTGGGTAAACAAATTACTGTTGGGCAATTTATAGAAGAGCAAATAATTATGACGATATCCAAGGCAATGATCATGTACATAGGCACGCTACTTCTTGAGCTTGCATTGATTTTTCCCTTGAAGAGGAAAGGGTGATGCTGCAAAGTAGAGATAAGTAGTTCCCACAGTTAAGAATCAAGATACCAATCCAGTAGGAGGCACAAGCAAGTCCCGAATATATGCACTTGCACAAACTAACAAACACTTGCACTCAACGCGAAAAAGGGGTTGTCAATCCCTTCACGATCACTTGCAAGAGTGAGATCTAATAGAGATAGATATAAAAGATAAGTAAAAGGCAAAATAAAGTAAACACAAATAAATTGCAGCAATGCATTTTTTGGTTTTTGGTTTTATAGATATGAAAATATATGATTGATAATAGACCCGGGGGCCATAGGTTTCACTAGAGGCTTCTCTCTTGAAGAAAGTATACGGTGGGCAAACAAATTACTATTGAGCAATTGATAGAAAAGCGCAAAGGAATGACGATATCTAAGGCAATGATCATGAATATAGGCATCACGTCAGTGACATGTAGACCGGCTCCCGCCTGCATCTACTACAATTACTCCAC